TAATGATGTTCCAATATTTTAACCATTTAAGGTTTTCTTATATTTTGCAATATTGGACCTCCGACCTCTCTGTCGAGATATTTAATCAACTTTTTTGAAAATGGACCAAAGGTCTATAATATATACAATGTGGGTACCATTAAAATTATATTTGGCTTTATTTTAGAAAATTATAATAAAGTCTAGTCTTTAAACAAAAATGATTTTTCTACAGTGATCTTTGTTATTTGTACAGTGTTCTACTATTTCGCAATATTTCGCTGAATGCTCAACAGATGTTTACCAAATTTAGGTAGTAGGGGCTTTTCAGGTATCACTTTTAACCTAATCTACCAGAGTCAACTTATATTTAGAGTATGACGTTATATCGCTATAAGTTTTTCTAATCAGGGAATTTTCGATTATTACGAAAAAAAAAAAAAATGTTCTAGAATCTGGAAAGTTACATCAGTCCTGAAAAGTGATGAAGAAAAAACATTTTTTTTTTAATGAGAAAAGATAATTTTTAATGAAATTATTTCTATTTAGTAGTTGATTGACTGACCTTAGTATTTATTTCCAATCTGATTTGATACAAAAAATATTTCTTAATAATTAATCAATTGCGTAATGTACTTTAGGAAATAACACTGACTTGTAAATTTAAAAATAATATATTTTGTAAAATTTTATATCAAGTGGGTGGTAGATACCTACGAATAACCTCATTAAATCTGTTAGTAGATAATTAGATAATAATGCAATAAATCTTATAAAATTATACTTCATATATGTTATCTTTTTAATACTAAAAGGATCTTTTCTAATAACAATATGTTGATAAATATTATTTTCCGGAGATAAGAAAACTGTAATGTAGGGTCATAATTCAACAACCTTTAGTTTATGATATTATTATTTATAACTGTGAACTGTTAACATTTTTGGAACATTTAATGAAGTATGGGGATGATTTGTGGTTGAAGAAGAATACAATTTTACAGTTTACATAGAAAGTACAAGACCTAAAATTACTCATTCAAATTACATGTTTTTTAACAAATATTTTGTATTTTATAAGAATTCAAATTCTGTCATAATTCCATTTAAATCAAATAATAAATAAGCTGTTTCGTTATTTTATAATTTTAATTTTCGCAGAGTATTTTTAAAAAAGATCAAAGAAAAAATTTTTGTTTAGCGGATTAATTTATTTCGGTTGAAAAAGTGATAAAAAGTTTCCAACTGTATAAATTGAAAATTTCATTGTTGAATAAATAATTTTACCGCTAATGGCTTTACATATAAATGAGAAAAAAGGATCATACATTCGAAATAAAGATAAAGAATCGCGTAAATTCAATATGCCTCAGGAAATAAATATTTATTAAAAATCCGATGACTACGGACTTTTATTTCAAAATGTGCATTTTTTAAAATGTTTGCTGTAAGATATACCATCTGTGATGCCGTAGTTCAGAAGCTAGCTACTATTTTATACTTCAATTACAATAGAAAATAATGTAGACACGATAGGTAGTATAAACTCGACTATATTATACTGCGTGTCCTATATATTTCTGGATAGGTAATATCAAAATGATAATCTGGCCCTCCAATTTGATAGTTTGAAAGAAGAAGTAAAAAATTACAAGGCCCACACAGATAATCATCTAGAAAATCTTAAAAAGGAGAATCAGGAGTTAAAAGCTGAAACAACAAAACTAAAAGAAAGATCAAAAAGTATAATCTGATTGTATGCAAGGTGAAGATATATACATAGCAGTTTTAAATCTAGTACAACAAAAACTGGGAATTATCTGTGAAGAAAGAGATATTCGGGACGCGTATAGATTTCCTAGCCTAAACAACACTGAAAAATCTTCGCCTATACTTGTAGAGTGTTTAACAAATAAATTTAAAACTGATATACTAAACCAAGCAAGAAAACTAAAAGGTACGGGAGTGTTTTTCGCACTTGATTACGTTCAAGAGGACTATTAACAGAGAAAATTTTTGTATATGAATCAAAAAATTGCAAGAGATCGGGGTCATACAGTCAAGATTAAGGGTAACACCTTGATTATATCAATGGTATACCGCATACAATTGATCAACTAGTCGACATCGATAGCAGAAGGGGAAGTACCTCTTCAAATACTTCAAGTACTTCTCGGAAGGAAGAAAAAAAGAGGACCCTGGATAATTCTCAAAACGTATTTGTTTTTTTTTGTTAAATAAATAAATCTAAGTTATTTGACGAGATCATATGGTTTATATGGGATTAAAGACTTTTACAAGGTGAACTCAAATCAATCCCGTATCAAATAATCTCCCTAGACAGTGCCTATTTTTGGTTCTAATGGGCCCTAGACTCATATACCTTAGTTCACTTTTTATTTATATAAAATTCTACTACGGTCAGGAATTTATCCTTATTCCAATAAGCAGCTAGTTCTTTGAAACCGAATAATTCTTCCTTCAGAAATTCAGCACTGTCGGTAATTTTGCAAGGGGCATGACGCCATCTGTCAGATTTCGTCATCACTATCTAAACTCCTAGGTAATAATATTTTTTTTATAGAAACCGAAAACAAGTGCTTAAGAAAAGAAGCGCTAATACTGAGAAAGTAGTGCTTTAAACAAATAAATCAACTAAAATTTAGAATTTTTACTGTCATAATTCGCCAAAAATACCTAAGTTTGATGAATTAGCTTAGAAATACTGAATCCTCACAAATTCCTCACAACTGAGCCAATGATCCCACTTTTGCTTACAAATGAAAACATTTACCCCCATATTGGTAACAGATTCACCGGGCAAAACCAACTTACTCTTGGTGTGGCTTGGTATTGGTAGTACCCCGTAGAGATGCCGTTTGAAAGTCGACTACAAGTGGCTGCAGCATGCTTTTGATCTCTAAAAATTAAACAGCATACAGCGACCACGGTAGATTCACTGACGCCGACAACGCTTGGACAAAGGTTGCCTATCGAACATCGATGTTCCCAATACGATGCTTTATTGAGATCGATGTAGGCATTTCGATGTTTTTAGGTTTGTTCCAAAAAAGATCCGAAACCAGTCGTGGATTCTGCGCAGTAGATTAATAAAACTTCAAATTATATATTGCGCTGAATATTGGTGCCAATGACTGCTTTCGGATCGCTGTTGGAACAAACCTTCTTTGTACCTAAAAACTCCAGTTAGCGAATTTTCGAAAAACCCACTTGAAATTTGGGAACACCTAGCACCAACATACCCCAGCACTAGCAAAGGTCACCAAAATGTATTTAATAATAGTAGCTGCAGTAGGTACAGACTCTAACCCAACAGAGAAATCGGATTTAGGGAAAAACATTTTCTAAATTAATTTTTTTCTTCAAAGTTTGTATAAAAATTATTTGGAGTTGTGTTATTATCAAACTACTTTCTACATATTTGATATTTTGGTAACCAAGGGGTATTAAATAAATGAAATAAAATGAATTTAGCTCAAAACCAATATCACACAAAATACAACGACCGTCTCCCCTTCAAAAAACAACTACTCCTTTGGCTAATACCGCAACAGGCATTGAATTACATTCGAAGGAAAGACAGCAGAGATAGAAATTAATTTTCAACACTCTCTACTTTGATTTTTCTCACCAAGGAGAACATCATTCTTGGACCGGTTTCGTCCTTATTAGGACTCCTCAGCAAGAAATAGATAGGTTCTCAATTCCAGTCTCTAATGGAATTAACAAATGCTACACATTTCACCAGAATACCATAAAGTTGGTTATGAAGAGAATAAGAATTCAAGTAGTGAAATGGTGTCGCCATCTGTTCTTAGTAAGCAAAATCAAAATGCGCTCTGGTACCCAGTTAGAAAACTAGGTGGAACCAAAAAGCACCAGGCGGGCAATTTGTAGACGAAAATAAATCAAAAATCAAATGGGGATAGACGTAAATGAAATAAAATGAATTTAGCTGAAAGCCAATATCACACAAAATACAACGACCGTCTCCTCTTCAAAAAACAACTACTCCTTTGGCTAATACCGCAACAGGCATTGAATTGCATCCGAAGGAAAGACAGCAGAGAGAAATTAATTTTCAACACTCTCTACTTTGATTTTGCTCACCAAGGAGAACATCATTCTTGGACCGGTTTCGTCCTTATTAGGACTCCTCAGCAAGAAATAGATAGGAAAATCAAAGTAGAGAGTGTTGAAAATTAATTTCTATCTCTGCTGTCTTTCCTTCGGATGTAATTCAATGCCTGTTGCGGTATTAGCCAAAGGAGTAGTTGTTTTTTGAAGGGGAGGCGGTCGTTGTATTTTGTGTGATATTGGCTTTGGGCTAAATTTATTTTATTTCATTTACGTCTATCCACATTTGAGTTTATTAAATAAATGTTCAATGTTTTGTTTTCCAAGTTGTATATGTATTTTTTTAAATATTTACTACAGATTTCTGAATACGACCAAAATATTCAAACTGATTTGGTGTTAGAATTATGAATTCATTTAAAAACATATGTTTAAGCAGAATTTAACGAGTTTTTCAATTAATTTACCCAGTGTTAATATAAATTAGTGTAGAGCAACAAGATAAATAAATTGGTGTTGTATTTAGTATAAATAAATTCAGTCAATAAATAAATTAGTATCTAAGTGAATATAAATGTAATAAACTTTTCAATATGTACATACAAAATATACGCCAATTTTTCCCAACTTTGTAAGTATAAAACATTAATTTAAGTTTGGATGAGCTAGGATGAGATCGTTAATACATTATTCTGACCCAGATATCATTATCCGCAGTGACAAAATCCCTATTTTGAAGTATACCAACAATCATTTCTGGCAAAAAACCTACATGAAAACAACCGCAAAAAAGGTTGCTCACAAAAACATTTCGGAAATAACGCCAATGATTGCCGTGGACCTAAATTTTCTCCGATCCGATTTAATAAGCCGGCCCTTTCCAAGGTGAAACGCCGAAAGTAAAAGGAACAAAAAAAACTTACAGTTCACGCTGAGGGTCATCTTTGAAATTAATTTGTTGTCATCGGGGAGGGCTCTGTTCCAGACCTCGCATCGGAAAAGTGCTTCGTCGTCTTCTTTTGTGGGGTTGATAAGAAGGGTCGCGGTGGTGGGTTGTTCTCTGGAGCCGCCGTGTCTTAGGGCCGCTTGCAGAGGGTACGTTGATCCTGCAAAAAAAAACAAAGGGGTTAGTTTTTGTATGCTGCATTACGGATAGGGAGTAAGTGGATTTAATTATTTTGCAGTGTTCTCACTACCTAGAATGGATATGAAATATATTCGTTCAGTTGAATGCAATAGTATACTTTTCCGCTTTGTATTATGTGCGTAGATAAGCTAATATCCATGTGGGTGTAGAAAAAAAATTAAATGGTGTAGTTGCAGAATGTACGAGGGTGGTATGATAATGGATTCATCTGGTAGGAATGGCTTTCTTGGTTTTATATTTGTTCAAAAATATTAATATGCCCTGTATATATATTTATTACATACTATGATTTGAAATAATAATGTTTTTGAATAGTTGTCAGTTTTTGAATAAATAACGTCAAAAGGATAAAAGAGTTTTTTTGTTAAAAACATTGATGTTAATACCAAATAATTAACAGTTGGTCCTTTGAGTCACGATAGACGAGTTCTGTGGAAATTTCAATCCATCAATAATCGTTATTAGAAATGCTGAAAGATCTGGAAAATATTCGACAAATAATTCAAAAGGCAGACGAAATTACTTGCAAAAATGTTCATTTTCTTCTTTATGGACAATTTCCAAAAAGTTCTGCAGGTAAAAGGAAGATTTTATCATTTTCTGGTTATGACTTTACGATACCCTCTGATGAATACATCTTACACCTAGCTTCTATCTGCAAAACGCTTAGTTGCACAACCTTGGAAGAAATTTGTACCTTATTTCATTTAGATTTTAAAAGTTTAAAGAATACTAATGAATTAGCAGAAATTCTAATTAAATATGTAACTGAACTTACTAAAAAAAGCTATAGCAGAAATGAAAGTAGCAAGAGCAACAAAAGTTCAAGTGCACATACAAAATGCAGTTCAAAAATTAGCATGTTATCAGAAAAACAAAAAAAATTAATAACGATACAAGACGAAATAACTAAATGCAAAGAAGATTTATTAAAAAAAGAAGAAAATATTATAAATTTGGAGTGTGATATACAAGAACTCAAAGAAAATCCAGAGACGCCAGAATTACAATTACTATTAAAAACCAAAGAAATTCAATTCAACAAAGAGAAGAAACTCTTAAAGATTTATGAAGAACGCATTCTGAATAAAGAAAAGCAGTTCAATAAACAAGAGAAAATCTTCAATATGGTTGACGAATATTCTTCAGAAGAAATCTCTTCTGAAAATGAAAGTATTCAAGAATTTAAAAAAGAAAATAAACAAAGAGTTCAAGAATGGGCAGATCAGATAAATAATCAAAAGGAGCCAGAAGAAAACTCACTAAGTAAAGTAGAAGAATTAACAAAATCAATAAATTCCCTATTACTTCGACAAACTGTTGCCACTAAACTTAGAAAATTCGATGGCTCATCATGTTTGGAATGGCCAATTTTTTATTCCCAATATAAGTTATCCAATGAAACTTGTTCTTTTACACCTGCTGAAAATGTTTTGAGATTAAACGACAGTCTCAATGGAGATGCTAGAAGCACCGTTGAAATGTTATTAATATCAGCCAAGAAGCCAGATGATATCTTAGATATACTTAATAAAAAATACGGTAGACCTGAATTAATAACACAAGAGCTTTTATCCACCGTACTCAAACTTCCAGCAGTAGAAAACTTTGAATTATTCATTCACTTCAGTAGCGTAGTGAGAAACATAACTGCAACAATCACAGAAGGCAATATGGAATGTTATATCGAAAAAAGAAGTATTCTACGAACGCTTGTAAATAAACTTCCACCACATCTACTAACCCAATGGGGTAGTTACTTAATTGAAAAGAAGATTGCAAGTTGTAAAGAGACATTAGAACAGTTTTCATTCTGGGTTCAACAAATGTCCGATACAGTTTCTAGAATAACATTTATTTCAAATGTGAATACTGAAAGCACTTTCTTAACTCTTCCAGTAAAATATAATAGTAACGAAAATAGATGGGTCACTAATTCGCAAAATCCAGGGCCGAGTAAAATTTGCAAAATTTGTAAGAAAAATCAACATTCAGTAGAAAAATGTAGCAAATTCCAAGAGTTTGATATTCAACAAAGATGGAAATTCGTAAAAAATAACAATATGTGTTATTGCTGCTTAAACAGACACAATGGAAAATGCAGAAAAAGAAAAATATGTGGCATTAACAATTGCGATCGTTTCCATCATAATTTACTGCACAAAAATATTACTCAAATTGCAAATACAAACGAATTAAATACATGCGTTGAAGTAGTAGAAGGTAAAACACTACTGAAAGTATTACCAATAAAAATAAAAGGTCCCAATAAAGTAATCAAGATAACCGCATTACTAGATGAAGGAAGCACTACGACATTAATTGATTCGGAAATTGCTGCAGAATTAGGTTTAACTGGCCCAATTTCACCTTTATGTTGCAAATGGACTGGTGAAATATTCAGACATGATCAAGATTCCCAGATTGTACAGGCAAAAGTAGCAAATCAAAACTCTCCTACTTTTCATAAACTTCAAAATATTAGAACTGTCAGTGAATTAAATTTACCATGGCAACGATATGACTTAAAGCACCTGTTGCTAAGATTCCCCTTTATACAAAATGTAGATGTGGATCTAGAAGATAGAGCCCAACCCACTTTACTAATAGGCCAGAATAACGCACATCTTATTATTTCGCGGCAGACTATTCAACCGTTTTTAAATGGACCTATTCTATCCAAAACAACAATCGGCTGGACATTACATGGGTACGTAGGATCAACAAGCAATGATCAAATTGGCTACCAGAAAGAAGAAGTAGTTGTGGTATGCTGCGAACCATGTGATGAAAAACTTCATGGTATAGTAACATCATATATGAAGCTCGAAAGTTTTGGTGTAGTACAAACCAAACGAAACTTTACGCATTCCAAAGAAGAAGAAAGAGCCTTGGCGATTGCTGAAAATTCCATAAAACTTGTGAATGGCCAATTTGAGGTTAAACTTCCATGGAAACAAAATGATCAACAACTGCCAGAATCAAAAAAGATTGCAATGCAAAGATTTTTTTGTCTAGAAAGACGATTGGCAAAAGATTCTCAATTAAGTAAACATTACATAGCAGAAATCCAAAAAATATTAGAGAAAAATTATGCTACCCCAGTCAGTAAAAAAGAACTTGAAGAAGTGAAAAGAATTTGGTATTTACCGCATTTTCCAGTGATAAATCCAAATAAACCAGGAAAAGTAAGAGTTGTGTTTGATGCAGCAGCAAAGAGTCACGGTTGTTCATTAAATGACTTTATATTAACGGGTCCTGATATGCTCTCACCACTATTCGGAGTTCTAATAAGATTTCGCATCCATAAAATAGCCTTTGCGGGGGATATAAAGGAGATGTTTAACAGAGTTAATATCTATTATGAAGACACCTTCACGCAATGTTTCTTGTGGCGCAATTTAGGTAAAAATGCTCCTTTAAACACTTACAGAATGAAAGCTATGCTGTTCGGTACCACTTCATCACCTTTTCTAGCTCAATTTGTTAAAAACTACAATGCTAGACAGTTTGAAGATCAATACCCAAAAGCAGTAGATGCCATTATTAATAATCATTATGTAGATGACTGGCTTGATGGCGCAAATTCTGAAGAAGCAGCAATAATACTTATAAATAACGTCATAAATATTCACGCCAAGGGAGGTTTTGAAATTAGAAATTTTATTGCCAATTCACAAGAAGTTTTAAAAGATATTCCAAAAAATCTGTTAAATGAGAAGGTCAATACAGAAGTGAACAAAAAAACCAACGAGGAACGTGTTCTTGGCATGATCTGGGATTCAAAAAAAGACAGTTTTAATTTCAATCTTAAATTAAATAAAGTTCCTAGAAATATTTTGGATGGATCGTCAGTTCCTACAAAGAGGCAAGTTTTAAAAACAGCAATGTCCGTTTATGATCCACTAGGTTTATTGTCTCCAATTAGTATTAAAGTCAGAATACTTCTACAAACCATATGGCGTAGCGCAGTTGGTTGGGACGACGGAATTACTGATAAAATGTTTCAAAAATGGGCAATCTGGCTACGAGATTTGAAAAAGGCAATGGAAATTGAAATCCCTAGATGTTATTGTCTTCGATTATTAGACGATGCTTCTTTCATTGAGCTACACACATTTGTAGATGCTAGTGAAGAAGCTTATTCTTCAGCGAGTTATCTTCGTATGGTATATGACAATTACATGCAAGTAACTTTAGTTGCTTCCAAAGCCAGAGTTGCTCCTCTTAAAACACTCACAATTCCAAAATTAGAACTACTTGCTGCAGTTATGGGGGCACGTTTATCGCAGACAGTTATACAAAACCTGAAGTTAAATGTTAAAAGGAAATATTTTTGGTCTGATTCCAAAACCGTTTTGAGATGGCTTTATAATGACAAAAAACTTCAGACATTTGTAGCAACTCGCGTAGGAGAAATTTTGGAAACAACGACTGCTGATGAATGGAAATGGGTACCTTCAGAAATCAATGTAGCAGATGCATGCACAAGAAGTACCTCAAGGAGCACTATAAATGATTGCTGGCTAAATGGTCCCAAGTTTCTTTACGAAAAAGAAGATAGTTGGCCACAATTTTCACAAGATGTAGACATAAGTAAAGAAGAAATTTTAATGGAATCCGTAGAAGTAAAAATTGTATGTATTTCAGACGCTCTTCCCATAATTAAAAACCATTATAGTTGGATAAAATTACTACGTATAACTGCTAGAATTAAACAAGTACTAGATATCCTAAAAAAAGTTCCTATAAATGAAAAATCTCCATTCCTTCCTTGTGAATCCCTTAAATGGGCTGAGACTAAGTGGTGGAAACTAGTACAATGTACTTGTTTTAAGATTGACTTACAGAATCTCCACAAAAATAATCAAAATACAACTGGTAGACTTAGAAAACAGTGCATTTATCTTGACAAAGACGATATAATTAAGATTTCAAGTAGAACAAGTAAAATAAACACGAC